TTTAAGTGCTGCAATTATTAAAACACCTTGAAAAGCTACAACTGTAAAATCCCTCCAAAATGTGAACAATCTAATAATGTCATGTACGGTGTGACGTGCAGCATTAGTGCTTCTCTGTTTGTACGGCTGCTTTACGATCCTGCTCATAAGCTGGAACATAAATTGAAGGGTTTTGTCTGTCCAGGGCAGCACGGTGGCACAGAGCTTAGCACCATCGCTGCTTGCATGCAGTCTGCTTTCTTTCCGGAGACATGCTTGTTTGCTTAACTGGTGATTGCAAATTGAACGTGAGTGTGAACGATTGCCTCTCTCTGTGGGTTAGCTCTGTGTTGAACTCGTGACCTGTCCAGGATGTACCTGCATTTTGTTCCAACGTAAAGGAAATCGATGGGTGTTATTTAATTTATGCAGTACCTTAAGTTAAAATCTAAGGTCAAAGTGCAAGGAAAAGCACAGCCAGGACAGTATAACTCGCAGATTTCTGTGATTTCACTTCTCTTAGTAAGATTTGAAACAAAGCATTGTTGTGCCTGAGTTTAAGAATCTGATCTTCTTGCACTGTGTGAGACAGATTTGATCACCTCTCCTTATTACAGCGAGGTCTGTGTTTGCTACTTTAAATTTGATGAAAGGGCGTGTGGTCTTACATCTTCACTCTGGTGTCACCTATACAGGGTCTGCCTGGGTACAGGAAACATAAATGCCTGAAAGACAAACTAGAGGCAGCTGAGCTGATGACATCTGATCCAGAAGGAGGGATAAATGTAGAGAAACTGTCTGGTTTTAAAAGGTCAGCTGTCAGAATGGGGATGGTTCTACCTGATGCAATAAGAAGAAAGTATGTATATCTATATTGTTTTACGTTGCATCTGTGTCTCCTGTGTTCTCTCTCCAAATTGGTGGATCTAACTAATACATCCATAACACGAAGGTGTTTAGAGGGAAAAGGTTTTGCTTGAATTGCATAGAAACCTAAAACAGGACGATGCCTCAGCTAAAGCGACATGCTGTGTTAAGCCCCCTGGTTTAATCTTCAGTTTGGCTTCGTGTTTGTTTTTTAGCTGAAGTCTTAAACAGCAGAGTAACCAATAACTTCTGCTGACAGATGTCCAAGTTCTGAAATGCACTGAAGCAGGAACCCTCGCTTGTAAAATCAGGTTTGAGGTTCTTACCTGATGAAACATATTGTACTTTTCACCAGTGCTGAAACATGAGGCTCTAAGCTGCTACAGTTCTGGCAACAACATGAGTGATTGTGTGCATTGGGTTTCTTGGGGTTGTAGTTTGTACTCTTTCCGCCTGCCTTTACTCTTTGCTCTCTTTTGCTCTCTGCCACGTCTTATTGTGGCAAAGTGTTCCAGTAGAGCAGCAGACACTTGGCTCCTCTGCTCATGGAAATGTCAGCTTGATTATACAGATTTATTCAGATGTCAATAAACTCTAAAGTCACAGTTTCACAAAATGAGCATGGAGCTATTGTCCAGAAACAAGCCTCAGTGGATAGTTTCCCTGGTAGTCTAGGCACGTCCTAATGAGATGATCTCACACACACCTCTCTGTAATGATTATGAGTCCACTGGCCTCACACACACACACACACACACACACAGACAGACAAAATGAATTCTAGGCGGCCATTGCTGCGTTCCCACTCGCTCAGACGTGTCTATCAGCCTGGCGCAGATGTGTCGCATTTATTAATATGCGTGCCGTCTCTGTTTACCCGTCGAGATGTATCTGATATCATTCGCCTTCACCGTGCACCCCGCCCCCACTCTCGTCTCCTTCTCTCACCAATTCCGTGGCACTGCGAGCTGAGAGTCTCATAAAATTTCATTAAAAACAACACGGTCGGCAGAGGGAAAATTTATGAGACCCATTTATTTTAATCACAACTCTTTGGGAGAGGCTTTTCAATGCAATTTGTGTTATTGTGTGCTGAACTGATTGCTGAATCCCAGGCCCTCCGGTGAAAGAAAGGACATCAAGTTTCTTCTTTTTCCGAGCCATAAGAGGAACATTAAGTTGTTTCTGTGGTGTAGATAGAAGCACTTTGATGTGTCATTATCAGCAACAAATGCATGGCACGCTTTAGCTCTGATTGGACGATACATCTTGTGTATTATAGGCTGATTCACTAGAGCAGGGAAAACACAGTTTTATGTGACTGTTTCATTAGTGATATCAGGATCATGTGCATGCCAAAATAGATGCAAACAACAAAGAGACCCAGGTTTCACAGCTGGTCAAAGATAAACGATCACTTAAAAGTTAAATATGCCCTACCTGATGCACAAATTTGCCATTTCACATCTAAGTTAGTTAATACAGGGCTTGCAGTGAGACCGGAGCTCTGGCTGAGCACTTGATTGTCTCCAAAGCAACAATAAGCAGCAGCAAATTGAGTCTTTGCTGCCAGCAGTGATAACGAGATTATTATCTGATTAAGGGATGAGATGTCTAATATTTAATCTTGGTAATGCCAGGGTTAGGTTCATTGCTTTCATCTTAATGCTGGTTCCCATGGACCCGCCCTCCACATGGGGAACACATTTCTTCCTGTGCACCCCTCTAATGAACAGCAGCTGAGAAGAAAATGAGCAGGGAACAATGTGTTACAACAGGAGACAGAGCCCTTCTTGCACACACACACACACACACACACACACACACACACACGCACATATACATTCGCAAGTAAACACACAGGCGCAGACAATTACCCGGTGTAATTTTTAGCACATGCACACTAGAGATTCAATCATGACTGCTCTCATCACAACAGCACATCAATCACTGCTGACAGGAGCAAGAAATGGGAACAAAAACATGAAGGTGATGTGAGACAAACAAAAGACATGTTGGCTTTTTGCCTGCAACCCTTAAGTTTATTGACTCTGGAAGCTTTGCACTCATCCATCTAAGAAAAAACAACTGTTCCAGCGTTTCACTAATCTGGACTCAACGACTGTAAAAGTCTGAATATCCTAGACGTTAAGAGAAGTGACTTCCGTGCCACACTCTGGGCAAGTTTAAAACCCACCTGTGCTGATACCGTAGGTGCAGTCCGGAGAAAATCTGGGCTCTGCTCCGCCGCTGCTGGCGTGCCGCTGCTGGCTACCGAGAGATGCTGCCGCTGAGGTGGATGTCGGAACCCTGCTGCTGGGCCTGGTCTCACATGGGAAACGTTGCTGCTGCTGCTGCTGCTGCTGCTGAGTCGTCCGGTGATGCTGCTGGCTGCTGCTGATAGAAACGCCGGTTTGGTGGAGCTGCTGCTGCTGCTGACGCTGTTGCTGATGATGGTGCGGCTGGAAAGGATGAGGCTGTTCGGGGTGAAAAGTGAAATGATGCCCGTCTCCAAACAGGGGCATCTCGACCACAGCGGACCGGTCAAAGCGCGACTTGCCCGCAGAGCGCTTGCTCTGGAAGGTTTTTAGGGTGCTGTACGGACCCCGCTGCTGTCGGCACATCTTCGGGGCGCACGGCCCTTCATCTGCGGGCTGCATCTCTCCCTCCATACCGGCCAGGTGTCACAGCGCGGCGGATGGCTGCGGGTCGGTGTCTTAGCGTGCTGGTGTGACAGGCAGCTGATAAGCGAGGGATCAGACCGTCACTGTCTCGGTTTCCCTCACAAACACTGTGAAGGGTGGGCTAATTTACTGACAAGTCGCCGCTCCAATCCCCAGTCGGGGGCGCCGATACCGAGACTCCTCCAGAGGGAAATACAGGCGGGACTTGTGCGCCACTGGCTGCCTCCTTTTGTAGCCAACATCCTCAGCGAGAACAACGGGGCGCTGTAGCAGTTAGCCTACAATCTGAAAATTAAAAAAAGAGAGAGAAATAAATAAATAATGAAACAGAATGGAGAAAGGAAGAAAAGGCAGAGGCCATTTTGCTACTGAGCTCAAAGCGCAGGCATAGATGGAAGGAAAATGTTTCCACACATAACCGAACCTGAGGGCAAAAATCAAACAGGCCAAAAGACAATATCAAAGTATTGTTTTTGTAAATTGAAATGGAAAATTACTAACAAATAAAAACGAATGAGTTGATAAATGAGAATGTAAAGAAAGCATTATTGGCCCAATCACTGTCCCTGATTTGACCCGACTGCTGATTACAATAAACAGGTAAGCTGAAGGGCACTGCCAGCCGCACACCTACTCACTGGGAAACAAAATCACGTGTCTGTGATCATTTTAGTCCCTTCACCTGATGTCCGTCAAAGGCAGGCCAGCAGCTGTCCAACAGCCCACGGGGCTAAAAGTTCGCAGCGCCACGCGGGGGCGCCGCCTCGATACCTTTTAACGGAGCTTTTAATAGACGGACCTGTTTTTCTCTGCTTTTAGCGGAGACTTCTTCTCACTTCTCTCTAATATGAAACAACAGCAGGGCGAACGTGGCCGTGATAATTACACGTGAGGTGAATGATAAAATGAGTAAGGCTCGGCAGCTGCTGGAATAAGAAGAATTAAAACGCTCATCTGTGTGCAGCACTGCAAAGCTGGAGTCACATATCTCCTGTTCACCTGTTTTAAAGCGCAGCCGCAGAGTTGTCGCACAAGCGTGGCCCAGCTCGTGCGCGCTGTTTGAGCGGCTTTATTGGAATGAAGCGTTTAGAGTCACGCCGGGCTCCCTCTGCACCACGTGATCCCCAACGTCCGGTTAATAGAGGTTGCGTGCGCGCTTAGTCCCCCCCCACACACACATCCCCAGCCCCAACCACAAAAACAGCAAAACTGCAGTGAGGTGGGCGCACAACTTCTGCTCACACTTTAACGCACAGGCGCGGAGAGTTTGGAGCGACACTCCAAAGCAAGTTGTTCAGCATCAGCTGGTGATTGAAGCGCGTTTGAATGAGAGTGAAGTTCCGTAATGAGATTTTTAAAAGAAACCCGGAGAGCATTCAATTAAGGATCCCCCCTCTTTGAGCAGCTGCAGACTGAGAGCGATTCCAGCGCTGGGAAGATGACGGTGACCTAACTTCACGTCTTAGGATCCAATCGTTTAGTTTCTTTTTTGGTGAATTAACACAAATGAAAAGTGTGTAAACTTGGACTGAGGCTCTGAGCTGAAGCCCACTGGACGCAGGGAACGTGAACCCCAGCGGCTCGTCGGGATGGTGCGCCTGTTGAGCTGCCTGCTGCTGGGATATCTGACCTGGAATCTCCGGATATCGGATGCTCAGGGAGAGTACTGCCACGGGTGGCTGGACTCAAATGGAAATTATCACGAGGGTTTCCAGTGTCCGGAGGATTTTGACACCATGGACGCCACAGTTTGCTGCGGCTCCTGCGCGCTGCGCTACTGCTGCGCCGCAGCGGACGCACGGCTGGACCAGGGCATCTGCACCAACGACAGGGAGGTGGATAACACCGAGTTTGCAGCGCGTAGGTTCACTGATTTTAAGCTAATTTAGGTCCAAGATTGTGGTGTCGATTTCCTCGGGTCTTCGTCATGTGCGTAATTTAAGCAAGACCTCAGAAAAATCCAAATTTATTAGAGTTTAATTAGTTGAATGGAGAAAAACACTCATGACTAAACTCTCAGTTTACTTTATTTAACCCTGTAGTGTTTAAAAGGTAAACACGGAGACGCTGTGAGAAGGACTTGCCTATTTAAGTTATAGCGGATCCTCCTAGAGAGGTCAGAGGTCAGCTGAACAATTAAGACAGCACAGAGCACTCAGAGGTTCAGTGCCTTTGCTGAAGGACACTAATGCACTCTGATATGAATTTCAAATATAAAATGAGTATAAAATGCGTTTTGTAAGACCTTTTTCCACTGCAGCTTTCTTATATGAGGTTTACATCCTTTGCTGTTTGAAGCATTAAGGTTCCACCTGCTCTTATCCAGCTCCCTTCAGTTTCCATCACACTCCAAATTATTATCAGTGCAAAGTGGAAACCTGGACACGTTTTCGATGACCCACCCCGCCAGTCACTCCGCTAAAACCTCTTTAAACAAATTCCTGTCAAAAATTTGTAAGCAGAAATTAGTTGGAAATTTGATCAAGCGGCGCAGGTTTGCAGTCCAGGAATGTTTTGAAGAGTGTAACCCTTCTCACACAGACAGGTCTATTATGCTGCCCAGAAATAAAGCACATTAGCTTTGACAGCTCACTAATTTCTAAACTAAAGTAATCACAACATCAGGAGACGGCGAGTCCTTTCTGTGGCTTCTTTATGAGGCGTTTGAGTGTTAGACTGACCTGCTGTTGGGGGAGGTTTTATCAGTTTTCTTTAAATTTCCCCACCAGATAAGCTTATAAGCCTTTAATTGAGTGGATCGTATGCTCACAATTTCCCAGTTTTCCCATTTAAAAATAAATAAACACTAATGTGGATTTCTTTGGTGAAAAGGCTTCATGAAGCGTAACTTGAGATGTTTGTGTTTTCAGCAGGAATGTGACTTTTGTTTGTTCGTAACGTTGTGGATGTCATGATTAGAAACGTTTAGCACAATTTTTCCCACTATTAACAGCTACAGTCATGCTTCTTAGTTTATCACAAGGTAAGACTTTATGTGAAACTTATAAGGACTTTGTAATGGAGCTGCTAACTTTATTTCCTCTTGTGCAAACATTTTGAGGCTGGTGTATGCACATTTCATAGTAAGTTGTGTTAAACCCAAATAAGCTGATGTCACTGATGAAATGTATGATAAATGGTTTAATATTACAGATTTGTTTTTTAAAAATTGCCCGTGTTTCCTTCCCCACAGAGCCCATCTACGTGCCCTTCCTGATGGTGGGGAGCATCTTCATCGCCTTTATCATAGTTGGCTCACTGGTGGCTGTCTACTGCTGCACGTGTCTCAGGCCCAAGCAGCCGACCCAGCAGCCCATTCGCTTCTCTTTACGCAGCTGCCAGGGGGAAACGATCCCCATGATCCTTACCACGGCTCCCCCGAGCCTGCGAGCCCCATCGCGGCAATCCAGCACGGCTACCACCAGCTCCAGTTCAGCCGGAGGAGGTAGCTCCATGCGGAGGTTTTCTCTCGGAGGTCAGGGGCAGCAGCAGCATGGCTGCCTGGTATCAGCCACCGTCTCATCGTCAGCCTCCACTCCCACCCAGACCCCACAGACTCTTCTTCCACCTCCCCCTTACACATCCCCACCAGCACCCATGACAGGAGGGATCCAGCACCCGCTGCCTTCATCCCACACCCAGTTGCAGCTCCATCAGCCCCCGATGGCCACTCACTCGTCCCAGAACACCAGCTTCCTTCTTCCCCAGCAGTACTTCTTCCCTCTGCAGCCAGACGCCTTCGCGGCAACCAAGGGCTTCGCTGACTTTGGACAGAGCTGACAGGGCTCTCAGCACGGGAAATAGAGGATTACACAATTTTTAGTGGGCAGGATGCGACCTGTCACAGACAGAAACACGCCAGACGAGGCTGGTGCCAGAGAAGCTATGCATGAGGCCCGGCCAATTGGCCGCAGAGCGAGTTGCTGGAGGGTAGGCACAAAGCGTGACAGAGCTGCTGTGGTTGACCAGCATGGCCCGAGGTACTCCCCTGTCTGCAGCACAGGACACATCAGCAGATCTGACACCATTTGTAAAATGTATGCACTTTTACTTTGTGAACAGATCTCCATGGTTTCCATTTGTTGACGTTTCAAGATGGAAATGTATCAGCGATCTTCCTGAAAAACAGATGTTGCCGTCACCAGATTCTGCTAAGCATTAACAGACTTGGGAAACCAGAGAATTCCTTTTTCTGACAATCGGAAGGACTTGGGAATGAGAGACGTTTTATTTTGGAGGAAATGTTATGTTATATAAAGGATTTTACAGCTCTTCTGATTGATTGCTTAAACTTCAGCAAATAAATGTTGTCTCATAGTAACTTGTGTGCTGTTTGATGTAAAGCTTATTAAGTAACAGTTTTGTCCAGAAAGACGGGGCTTCATCATCATCATCATCACTGAGACAAAAAGGAAACCGGAGAGGTCAGGCCGGCACATCATCTCCCTACCTGTCGCTCATTCTCGCGCCAGACTTCACAGCAGGAATGCAGCGCTGAGATCAGTCATTGTCAGTGCTCAATGAGCATGGCGTGGTCACAGTGTTAAAAACAACTCACCCCAGAAATAGAGGTTTGGGTTGCACCAGCAGGTATGGCAAAACCTCCACAAAGACTGCTCTGTTACCCGGCTACCTGACTGTGAAACACACTTGGCAACCGGTTTGTCACGAAACCCGAAAGCTGTTCGGCTTCAGGATGTTTGCTGCTGCGTTCAGGTATCCGTTAAGTCTCTTATCACAGAATACGGCTCTCATGAATAACGTCTGTCGGAGTGTTACCTCCATCCTGTCTTGTTTGAACTTGCAGCTGTCAGTTCAAACCTCTGTATCACCTTCTGCTTATGAAAGGAAAGCAGAAGTCGCGAACATGTTTTCATGATATTTCCTAAACCTTTTGGATACATCGAATCCTCTGTTTTTGCCAGGCTCAGAAAAGTTTCCGACTTCTTTTCCAAGTTATCCTTGAAGGTAGGAACCCAATTCTCCACACAGTGAATGTTTTTATTTAAAACAATCGTGTGGATTTTATAACAATTCAAGTTTTATATTTGTTCTCAGGGCCTAAACTTTTGAATCCTCTGACTTTTTTTAAACCACCAGACTTCTGTAGATTGCTGTATTATATTTTTAACAGATGCACCACAAATACACAGTTAACATCACAGATATCGCCATTAAACTTGTCCAAGCATATACAAGTAATCCCTGGCTCTGTATGATGTTTTGAGAGGGGATTTTCTTAATCCTTTAACAGCTGTACAATACGTTTTTAAGCAATAAATCACAATTAACAGAAATATATTCAAAGTATTTTTAATTCATTTAAAATAATGAGGGTTTAATAAACTCCATCTTCAAAAGATTCGAATTTCTTGGCATTTATTTCATGGTTCAGGCTTTAAAGGGTTAATATTGGCATCTCCAGTCGGCAGCATCCCAACCCACCTGCTACTCAAACCTATTTGAGAAGAAAACTGGCTTTCAGTCGTGTAAACTGAGGGGTTACCCTCCAGTATAAGATACATAAAGACCATTTTAAACAATGAAACATGTAAAGTCACTCTAGTAGAGTCTAGTAGAGTCCTGGTGTCGATAGCAGTTGTACAGAAAATGTAGAAAAAAGCAGCTGCTCAAAAAACCCTCTTCTGAATGTAATAAAATCACACTTGCTCCCACCACCAGTAACCACAGGTGTCACCTCAACAACCAACAGCAAAAGCTTGCACTCTCCAGCTTGAAAAAAGAATTAGACGTACCCGGTATTTATTTCATTACCTAATCTCCCCACACTAATGTTTTATTTATTTGTTTGTTTTTCAGTCTGTAAAATATCTGCAAATAGCAAAGCAGTCACAGAAATGAAGGCTTAGGCCGGCGTCTTACAACGCTTCCAATGATCATCGTGCAAAAATGCAACGATATCCTGTTACAGTTTACAATAATAAACCCACATTTAGAAGCTGTAACCAGAGAATTGTTAGTGTTTATGTATAAAAAAATGTTCTGTCAATCAACTAATGAAGGGAGGTTTTTGGACCTTGATTGTAACAATAAGAATTTGAAAAGCCAAACAGGGCTTAGCCTGTGTGGGATCACACGAGAAGTTCGAGTAAACCCCGCAATCATAACAAATGAGAAGTCTATTGATATCATTTGTTTGTCGTGCTCGCAGGCCGATGGCCGTCCCTCCTTTTCCTGTTTGGATTTTCTCTCCAGTTTGTCGCCACACACGCTGATTACAAATTTGCAAATAACACAAAAGCAATAACAGACTTCCACATTGTTCGTCAGTGATTGTAAAGTTTATTTCAGTAGTCCTTCGTGGCAGTAAAGACAACACTTATAAGTTTGCAGTCCCAACATGCAGAACAATCATCGAACAAAAAGACAGAAAGGAAACGAATCATCGAAAAGAAAAGTTAGAAGGTGCGCCTTTTTTGTTTCCGCTTTTGTAAAGTGATCAACACTTGAGGGAGAAGTAAAGTAGTACGGTTAACACTTCGGAGAACACTTTTTGTTTTCCATTCATGCAGCCCACGACCTTCACAGACAACGACGTGTGTTTTATGTTTTCTGGGAAGAAAAGAAAGAGAAGAAAGCAAAAGTCCAAACCTTCCACAACGACGACAACCACATTCTGCTGTTTGGAAAGTTTCTGACAAGATGACAGCCGATTAAGTTTTCACGCCAAAGACCAGCAGAGAAAAATAATCAGAAACACAAAACACAAATGAGTAAAGCAGGAGGTACACTGCGTGGAAAAAGGTCACAAACGTGTACACTCAAGAGAAATCTACACCGAAACCAGAAAATACCAGATATCCACAACTGGAAAGGTACATCGAGTGCATTGTGCAAACATCTGTCGAAGCGAGCGGTGCGTCAGAAACTCTCACAGTCGAGGTCGAGCGTTTCGCCGCGAACGCCGGCAGCCTCGCGTTCCCATACAGGCCATGCATCGGCACACGTTAGTACACCATAGCTATACCTGGAGTCGTGCAGACGGACAACTTGAGCAAGCGTCACTACACACGCGCGCGCGCACAAATATACAATAAAAGAAACACACCAGGAGGACTGAGAAACCTCCCAGTCTTTCATAGAGGACACAGACATGCAGTGCATACACAGAAATTATCCACAGTAGAGGTACACACACACACGCACCCACACACACTCGTACGGCACATGCACATGCAAGCAAAAACCGACACACACGTACACACACACTCGCACCATCAGAAATCTGATCTCCCATAGGGAGAAGAAAGCAATCACACAGACATTAGTCAATTATAAATAAATCAAGCTGTAACAATATTAATATTAATAATAACAAGACATTTAAGAAAGCTCGGTTTCCTCGTCACGTCTAATCTAGCCCGCAGTTCATCAGAGGAAGAAAAAACGAAACGTTACAGACGATTCATTACAAAGCCGGTCGATGCAAAATTCATACGTCTCCAATATAAAAATACAAATCCACAAAATAACTATAGAGACAGAGCAGTTTTGATACTGTCGTGGAGTTTCCTGGCTAATCTCTCTCTCTCTCTCTCCCTTAAGCTAATGGCACTTATGTTAGAGGGATAAAATCTCCATTTGAAGGGAACCACTGCTGCCACTGTAAGCTTCAACGAAAAACCCATCAGAGAGCCTCCTCTTCACCTCTGCAGGAACAAATCTGTAGTTTTCACATTGTAGGAGTGCAATTCTGTGGTGGGGAGACAGTAGGTGTGTGTGCGGCGCACTGGTCTAAGCGATCTGTTTCTTCGAAGAGGGAACAGTTTGACGTAGGCACCGTTGTGATTGTTGAAACGGGAGCGGATGCGTGGAATGCAATTTTAAGTCGAGAGCAATACGTCTGCTGCGAAAACGGTGGACACAGGACTACGGTAGGTTGCAGGAGGCAACTTCTTCAGAAAAAACATAAATAAATGAAGAGGCAAGAACGAGGCACAGTATCTACATGTGTATAAAATGCATTTGAAAAGAAACCGACGGAAAGAAAAGGCATAATAAAATGTAAGGCTTCACACAACAGATGCTTCCTCGAGTGCAGAAACAAAACGAACATGTCCAAACATCTGCTCTGATGTGGTCTGTGTCGCGCTGGACACACAGGAGTTTAATTACATCTGCTCTAACCTCTTTTCTCAGATTCACTAGTACTTGGACGATTGTATACACGACTGCTCCTTGGCAATCTTTCACGAGTGCAAAAGCGTCTGAAACCAATCGCTGTCCGGTGTTTGATTTCGATTTACTAAAAGGATTTTTAGGCTTTTGGCTCAAATCAACAGAAAGGAGACAAACGAACAGTGAAGAACTTCAGACCACAGACTGCTAAGAAAGCACAGTGCTCGTATCATGTCTGCGCGACACACAACTACAGCTGACAGTGAACGTGACTTGTTTTGTTCCTTGTGTTTTTCTTTTAAATCCCTTTTTTCCAAAGACGACACAATGTCCCTTTCTTCTGTCTCTTTCCAAACCCCCCTTCCCCTCAGCGGAGGCACACGCACACACCACCGCTTCTCCCCGTTAAGCTTCAAATATCGCCACTGGAAACGGCCGCCGTGGCTCCGAGCAGGCCGGCCGTGAACGAGAAGGCCGACGCCTCACCACGTGTTGGTCCTCTGCTTGGTGGTGTCGTACGCTCTGATGACCTCGGACTGAGACACCACTCCGTTCTCATCTTGAGAGAAGGCGTAGCCATCTGTGAACATAATGAATGAACTTCAAACAAAGGCTGTACAGATCAGTAATTCATTGAATTAAAAATATATACTTAAAAACACACATATGAGGCACATGAATCAACAGAATAGTCTTAAAATTTGGGAAATATGCTTATGGTTGCTTTCTTGCTGAAAATCAGTGCAGGCCTCACGTCTGCATTGTTAGCTCGGCTACAACCAGCATCGACTTAAAGTGATGTTAGATCCTGATGAAGACGCTGCTTTTATCAATCTGATAACCAAACAAAAAGAAAATCATCTCTCCTGCCCCGTGGAACATACAAGCACACACACCTAGAAACTACGTGGTGTAACCTGACAACCAAAATGCTTTTTCCCTGACTGGTTGGCAAGTGGTTGCTAGAAGGTATTGGCAGTTGCTAAGGGAAACTGTTTGCAAAGAGATATACAGCCCAAAACTGAAAACTTCCTCGTGTTTGCTTTGATTGCTAACAGTTTGTCCCAGGTCCTGTTGTATGGAAGACCCTGCTTTCTCTGCAATCACGTGCCAACTACTCAATCAACTTCCAGCTGGTAATGAAACTTGAAAAATGCAGATAAAGGCGACCCCTGCAATCATTGGTCTCTGTGTGACCAAAGCCCAACGACATGACATCTGACCTGTCTGCCAGGCAAGCTTTGGATCCTGTTTGCAGTCTTTATGCTGAGTTAAGAAGCTTCTGGCTGTAGCCAGCTCCAATTTGAGCTTCTCTCACATTAGAGTCACTGTGGTAAATATCTGTTTAGATTTCTGCAAGGCACGATAAACAGTTTCTAAGTTGTTTCCTACGTTGTGACCAGGAACCTCTGGAAACCTCCAGGGCTGAAAATGAAGTCAGCTGCTGTTCTAAACTCAAAAGCGAATCATTCCTCTTTAAACGGCCCAAATTTATAGCCTGTTAACAGGAAAGTATTCACAGAGCTCCACTTGTTCCACATTTTGTCACATCATTCCAAAAAAGGATCATTTTCACCTCAAAATTCTACACGCAATCCAAAACGATGCAGTGAAATAAAGTTTGCCCGAAAAACGTAACATGTATATAAGCATGCACAGCCTTTGCCACGGCACTCACAGATTACATCAGGTGTATCTTGTTTGCACTGATCATCTCTC